TTGTATCGTAAGTAAATATCTAAAAATAGAAATAAAAAATTGATTATTAATAAATATTGTTTTTTGCATTATAATAAAATATTATTTGTTTTATAACCCTATCTTTGTTTCATATATAAATATCTAAAATAGAAATAAAAAAGAAAAATAAGTAAATATCTAAAAATAGAAATAAATTTGTTTTATTATAAATAACTATTGTTTTTGGATTATAATAAAATATTATTTGTTTTTTGCCATTTATAACCCTATCTTTGTATCAAAAGTAAATACCTACCTAAAAAGAGAAATTAAAAAAAATGTTCAAACCTGGTATTGTAGATAGCGAAATCGGTGTGGTAGTGAATGGTTAAATGTGACTTTTTTGTTCTTAAGAGGTATTTTTAATCAGCAATAAGAAATTATTTTATATAACTACTAGATTTCTGAGATTCCATAAGTTTGAGATAGAAAATATTTCGAAAAATGGGGAGATTAAGGTTTCTTTGAATTTATAACACCTCGTCTTTTATTTCAAAGAAGTCTTACACAATTGAATTCTCTGTTTTAAAGATAGAAATTCATTTTTATTTTTTAAACACTGCTCGAAAGTGGAAAATACAGGGGTAGACTATGAAAAGTTAAGTAAAAAATATAAATGTTTGCTGTAGGAAAAGTTGGGATACTTTTTATATAAAATAGTTTTCTCGAATAGATTTCTGCGGGTAAGGTGTATGAAAACAACAACTATTTATATATATTTTATTATTAAAAATAATAATCAAAATCTCTAATACTTTAAAATATAAACCTGATATTCAAATACTATGATTTCATAATAATGTATACATTTTATATTTCTTGATATTAATAAATGATTTCTTCATTTCGAAGTTCTGTAATAATCAACTCAATTTCTTCTTGGGAACCATTTGATTTGACTAATTTCCTTAAACGGTCTACAAGCTGACCTGGATGTGTCCAGTTCATAATCAGTTCTGTAGTTTCGTTAAATTCTTGTAGGATGGAGCTCTCTTTTCGATGTCGAACAGTTTTTTCTTCTTCTACTTCTTTTTCATTCAGTAGTGGAAAATTTTCTTGATTCTGATGACATATGTTAGACTGTTGTAAAGGTTTATTATTAGTCGCTTTTGACTTTGTCTTATTTTTAAACAGAGGTCTAATGGTGGAGTCGAATTTTTTCTTATTAGCTAATGACCGTAAATAGCCTCTCGAATTTCTATGTACATTGCTAAGTTCCAATATTTGTTTGTAGTTTTGGTGGTCTAATATTGTAAAATCGCACGGATTCTTATAAAATATTAACCGTTGTAGACCCGGAGTACTTTTAAATGTTTTGCTACCTATGATTATATTTTCATTGTCAAACTCAACATCTACGTTACCAAGCATCCATTTTTCATTTTGGTATCTTGGTCCATATTCGAAATCGTACTCATATTTTTCTTCAATATTCAGAACGGATAGTTTTTTGTTTATTGGAGTTATATCTTCAAACATAGTGTTATAATTTTCTATAATAGGTACTCCTTTATGTGTATGGTATGAAGTAAACTTTTAGTCGAACGGACGACTAAATGGATCAGACTAATTTCAAAAGTGTTAAAAAGGCCCCCTCAAATCGCAAATATGTGTTTTCTTTGCCGTAAGAACACATATAAAACAGGTGCTTTTTAGACAAATTTAGCAATTTTGCTACTTTTACAAACGTTATATTTATAATAATCTAAAGAATTTTATATACTGAATAAATATTTAGTATGGTTCTAGCCTTAAAATATCTAAGCGATAGAAATAATATAGATGTTATGCTTTAAGAGAAATATAAGAAAATGAATTTTATTATTAAAACATAAGTCTTCGTACATCGAAAACTTAACTAACGCAGATGAAATTTGTATGTGTATTTGAACGCATATCCAATAAATACTGATGTTGCATTTCTAGGTACTCAGAAATTTCGAGAGTGAACTAGCAGACGCCTTGTTCAAACTAACGCATTGAATTACTGATAAATTGTCTCTGTATTTAATATCGAGATGGTCCAGTAGTAAGGGCACATGTCTAAAAAGAGTGGATGTATGATTTCGAGCCATAGCTACAGCAGGCTTAGTATTTGTTTTCAAATTAGGGTTTGGAGATGGCCTAGATAATTCGTAAGAGGATTTTTGGGTATGTTTCCCGAATTTTCAAATAACTTTATAATAAAATGGTTTTCGTTTTATCTTATAAATTAAGCGGTTCCGAATACTATTTGGATACTATTTGAATACTATTTGAATACTATTTGAATACTATTTGAATACTATTTGAATACTCTTTGAATAATATTTGAATACTATTTGAATACTATTTGAATACTATTTGAATACTATTTGAATACTATTTGAATACTATTTGAATACTATTTGAATACTATTTGAATACTATTTGAATACTATTTGAATACTATTTGAATACTATTTGAATACTATTTGAATACTATTTGAATACTATTTGAATACTATTTGAATACTATTTGAATACTATTTGAATACTATTTGAATACTATTTGAATACTATTTGAATACTATTTGAATACTATTTGAATACTATTTGAATACTATTTGAATACTATTTGAATACTATTTGAATACTATTTGAATACTATTTGAATACTATTTGAATACTATTTAAATAATATTTAAAGATGGTTTGAAATTAAGTTAGCGAACGTGAGAGAGAGAGCTGATTGAACACATTTTCAACTAATTTGAAGGTAACTACAGACCGTAATGTATTATCAGACGTTGAATCTTTCCGATAGGGTTTTAAATTCAAAGTAATAAGATATAAGACAACTCAAATAAATTATTTTTATTTTAAACAGGGCAAAATTTATAAAAGTGATAAATTTGTGATTGATTGGAAAGTCGATAATTGTAATGTTAAATTTTAGTTTATTTCTATAGATTCTTGGCGACGAGTAAAAAACTATGATATAGGAGTCTTTTATATAATTAATTCACAATCGCTTGATTTATAAGATATTAACGAAATCCATTTTATTATATTTCTCTTAAAGCATAACATCTATGTTATTTCTATCGCTTAAATATTTAAAGGCTAGAACCATACTAAATATTTATTCAGTACATAAAATTCTTTAGCTTATTATAAATATAACGTTTGTAAAAGTAGCAAAATTGCTAGTTATGTCTAAAAAGCACCTGTTTTATATGTGTTCTTATGGCAAAGATGACACATATTTACGATTTGAGGGGGCCTTTTTAACACTTTTGAAATTAGTCTGACCCGTTCAGTCGTCCGTTCGACTAAAAGTTTACCTTATACCGTACACAACTGATTTCAACTGTTTGTTCCAGATCGCTGAACGGTGAAGTTGTGTTGTGTTTTGCTGTGAACAATATTCGATACATTTTATTTTGGACTTTTTGATTTAAAACAAAAAAATGTCTGTTGTCGAAAAATTCGCCATTGTCAAAGACAATATGAAGAAAATTAAACGGTTTGGACTCATGGGGCGAACAATGGAATTCCGAATTAACCCAATTCCTAAAGATTCAGAACCTGTTGGATGGATAAAAGACGCTCTTACACAAATTGTTCAAAAGGGAATCGAGGGTGTCGACCCGACTGATAAGGTGGGATTTACATTTTGCTCTAAACAATTTGCAAAAGGTGATGCATGGATGAGCTTTAAGCCTGCATCGGAGGTGACAATGGATAACCTATGGGATATCATTTCATCACTCTATCAATCAAATACATCTGACCTTAACACCGAAACTTTTTGTTTAAGTGTAACATCTGTAAGAATGCCGAGGGGAAAAGGCCGTGTTAAACCCCTCAATTTTAATTCTTTTGGCGAATATTGTTGCAAGAGTCGAGGTATTATAACTATATTTAATAAAGACAACTTGTGTTTGCCGCGTGCTCTTTCAGTCGCTAAGGCATACATAGATAAAGATCTTGAATATCCAAAAGTTCGAAAAAATACTGGTAAATTACAGGACCAAAGAACTCAAGAGTTGGTGAGCGAGGCTAGTGTTTCCATACCTGAAGAAGGAGCTGGAATACCAGAACTTCAACAATTTCAGAGGTATTTAAACAGCTACAAAATTATTGTATATGCTTATGGTTCAAAAGGCCGTGACGTCATTTATGAAGGTAATGGTGTTGGTCCTTCATTGAACTTAATTCATCACGATGGACATTACAATGTTATTACATCGCTAACTGCAGCATTTTGTTGTAGTTACTTTTGTGAAGAATGTCATGTACCTTACAACCAAAAGTTTAAGCATAGATGTGGTGGAACGTGTGTTGGTTGTCAACAGACACCGTCTTGTTCCAACACCAAATTGCCCGTGATATGTAATTCTTGTAAGAGATCTTTCCGTGGACAAGTATGTTATGACAATCACATACAGTATAGTATTTGTAAAAAATTACGACGTTGTGAAGAATGTTTTAAAATTGTACCTACTAATAGATCTCATATCTGTGGAGAAATTTTTTGCAAAGTCTGTAATAAACAACAGCCATCGGATCATTTATGTTATATTCAGCCCGATTCCAAGTCCCCTCCATCCAAAGATTTCCTTTTTGTCTTTTACGATCTCGAAACAAGACAGGAGATGGTTCAAGCCGACGGGTCTCTCTTACACGAACCTAATCTTTGCATTTTTAGTCAGCGCTGCCACACATGTATCCATGAGATACAGTTGTTTTTCTGTCAGTCTTGTGGGATAAGACAAAAAACACTGCTTGGAACTAATATTATTTCTAATTTCTTGGATCATCTATTCCAGATCCGTAAAAAATTCAAAAATGTTGTTGTTTTGGCTCATAATGGTGGTGGGTATGATCACCACTTTATTCTCAATTATATCCTTACTCAAACTGACCTTACTCCAGACCTCATTATGAGGGGCAGAAAATTAATTTCTATGACCACTGGCAATGTCAAATTCCTCGATAGTTTAAATTATTTTCCAATGTCTCTCTCTAAGCTTCCAGAAGCTTTCGGGTTTTCTGAATTAACAAAAGGATACTTTCCCCACCTTTTTAACACTGTTAAAAACCAAAATTACGTTGGGTCTATACCTCCCATTGAATATTATAATTCAGATAGTTTAAAAGAGGAAGACCGGGAAAAACTATTAAAGTGGCATGCTGAAAGAGTTGCAGTTAATTATGTGTGGGATTTTCAAAAAGAAATCGTTAACTACTGCTTGTCAGATGTTGATATATTGACACGGGCATGTCTGAAATTTAGAGAGCTTATGTTGAAAGAATCTAATGTATGCCCTTTTCTGGAAGCAACAACAATAGCATCGAGTTGTAACAAAGTGTTTCGACGCAATTTTCTTAAACCAAATACCATTGGAATAATTCCCAAGCGAGGGTATCGTTGGCAGGATAATCAATCCACTATAGCTATTAGATGGTTGATTTGGGAAGGAAAACAAAGAAATATAAATATTCAACATGCAGCAAATGGTAAGGAGGCCAGAATTGCTGGAGTGAAAGTCGATGGATATAGCGAGGAAACCAGACAAATTTTCGAATTCGAAGGTTGTTATTACCACGGCTGTCCTCAATGTTTTACGCATCAAAGAGATGTGCCTCTACCAGATTCACCCACTGAGACAATGAATTTGAGATATGAAGCTACTGTAGCCAAAAAGGAACGCTTACGATTTCTAGGATATGAGTTAAGTGACATATGGGAGTGTGAATTTAAGCGTCTACTCGCTGAAAACAAGGATATGCGAGAATATACTGAAGCTCATCCGCTTATGTTGCAAACACCACTCGATCCTAGAATGGCATTTTACGGAGGAAGGACGGGAAATGTTTCAGAATATTACAAAGTTCAGAACGATGAACAAATTAAGTATATTGATATTCGATCGTTATATCCGGCGATTTGTAAATATGGAAAATTCCCTGTTGGTCATCCAAAAGTTTATGTAGGCGATGAATGTCCATCGTTAACTACAGTTTCGGGGGTTGTAAAATGTAGCGTGTTGCCTCCTCGAGATCTACTACATCCAGTTCTACCCCAAAAAATGAACAACAAATTGATGTTTGTTCTTTGTCGTGAGTGTGGAGAAAATCTCAATACTAAAGAATGTGTACATTCTGATGAGGAGCGAGCGTTAACAGGTACGTGGGTAATAGCAGAAGTAAATAAAGCTCTTGAGAAGGGTTATAAACTTTTAAAAATGTATGAGGTTTGGGCATATGATACAATTCAGTTCGGAAATAATGTTGCTGGTCTATTTACCGAAATGATGAATTGTTTTATTCGACTGAAGCAGGAGTCTAGTGACTGGCCTAAACATTGTCGAACACAAGCCGAAAAAGAGAAGTATATTGAGAGGTTTTTCGAACGGGAAAATGTCAAATTGGAGTTCTCACAGATCATTGACAACCCAGGACTACGTTCATTAGCTAAACTTATGCTTAATAGCTTCTGGGGTAAATTTGGACAGAGACAGAATCAGTCCCGGACTAGTATTATTAACAATCCTGCAGAATTTTTTGGTATGATGTCAAACCCATCATTATATATAAATACGGTACTCCCTGTAAATGACACCACAATAATTGTTAATTGGGAGTATAGAGAGGAGGCTTCCGAATCTTTGTCCACAGTCAACGTGGTAATAGCAGCTTTCGTTACTACTTTGGCGCGTCTTAAGTTATATAGTTACCTTGAGAAATTAGAAGATAGAGTTTTGTATTATGATACAGATTCGGTAATATACGTATCACGACCCGGGGCACTCGACATACCAACAGGTGAGTTTATTGGTGATATGACCGATGAACTCGAGAAGGAAGGGTCTGGTTCGTATATAACTGAATTTGTGTCGGGTGGGCCTAAAAACTATGCCTACAAAGTATGGTCAACTAAAGATCAAGATTTTAAAATTACTTGTAAAGTTAAGGGTATATCTTTAAATCACTCTACTTCTCAACAAATTAATTTTAATTCCATCAAAGAGATGGTTTTGAACCCTTGTGAGCCCATTCAAATAATTTCTAAGGAGATTAGAAGGACGAAAGAGCATAATATAGTAACAAAAGACAATGTTAAAAAATATAAACCAAATTCTCTCAAACGAAAATTTCTTCCTGATCATAATTCAGTACCTTTTGGTTATAAAAAGTCAAAAGAGTAATTTTTATTGTCGAAACGTAATACCCTAGAACATATTTTCTGACCGATAACACTTTTAGATCTTTATCAATAAATGTATTGAATTTGTTATTAAAAGAGGTATTCTAAATAAATATTCAACAAATTAATAAAATGTCTTTATTATGTTGAGAACGATTTTCAGTCGGCTTAGTCCAGAGAAAAGAGAATAATTTGAAATGTGTGAAGAAAGGCCTCAGAACTAATTTCGTTTGGTGAAGTATAGAAAACAATATTTTAAGTCCAATGAAAAAGAAATTATACAAGTTCAGGTGAAGTTAAGTCACTAGAATATTCTCGAGTGGTGAAGTTATTTTATAATTAAAAATAACAAAAAATATCTTCTAATTATTATCTTTAGTAAAAAGTTATTGAATTTGTTATTTCATTTAAAAGAGATATCCTGAAGAAATATTCAACGAATTAATGACATGTCTTTATGTTGAGGCTGCTTTTCAGTTAAGTCCCGAGAAAGAAGAATAATTTGAAATGTGTGAAGAAAGGCCTTAGCGGTAATTTCATTTGGTGAAGTATTGAAAACTATATTTTAAAGTCCAATGGAAAAGAAATTATACACGTACAGGTGAAGTTTAAAATCACTAGAATATTATCTAGTGGTGAAGTTAACAAACGAAAGAGAATAAAATGAAAAATATCTAATTACCTCTAGAAAACTACATATTCTATTATTAAAACCAACATTAATCTAAGTAGTATAATTAGTGTCTTTTCTTCCTAAATTTATAAATATAAAATAATGCTATTAAATGGTAGGCCTACGGATATCTTTATATATTGAGGATATCTTCCTTTGTATATAAAGATTTCATGTTGGGGATTCCTAGGTATAAAACCTTAAAACGAGGCCGCAAACACCTACAATAGAGAGATATTGCAAATTTCTATAATGCCAGTCACTAATAGTGACATCGTAATTAGAGTCAAATAAATTCCAAGCTAAAATCAGATTTATTGCAAACCTGAAATTTTGACATTAGAATCCTTCTCGTTATATTTATTTCTAACCTCATTTTAATAACTTTACTTTTTACTTTTAACTTTTATAGTTCATCTTTTTTGTTGTCTACATTAGTATATAATGTTGAAGAGGAATTAGAAATTATAATTTAAGGTTTAGATGACGATTATATTAAATATTTAATTTTAAAAACTTCGAATGGATACGAATGTCGGCGATTACACCCGAAAGCTATAAAGTCACCACTACCTACTGCCTTTAAACATCCACAATTTAGGACAGGTACAATTTTTAATAAAGTCAGTTTTAGAACATAAACGATCTGCGCATGCTTAGATGTCAAAATAAAAGCTGTACTAATAGTGACTGACTTTAAATGAACTTGCAATAACTCTCTATTAACTTAGACTTTTAGGTTATAACCTCTTGGGTTGGCCATGGAAAAAGGTGTTATAAGTTTGCATACAAATGTTTAATTTTATGTGGTATTATCTAGATGAAATAAAATGATAATGATGGTATAACTTCCAGTAGTGTCTTTTACATATTATATGTAATGGTTAATTTATAATTATTATACCCCATAAAGAAATGTGTAGGTATTACCTAATATTTAAAGTATAATTAGATCCTTGAATAATATTTTAGCATATAGTGCCATCAATTCGTTACAAAACCCTTTGCTGGAACAACACCGGTTTAATATCCCTTTTAGAAAACAAAAATATTCGAAATTCTGTAGCTTTAAGTACGTATCTAATAGTTTATATACCTACCTTAAAGTAATATTTTTCTTTATATCTATTATTTTTACTTAGGGTTTTTATCATAAAGTCAACTCTTGTATACATTTTTATTTCAATCTCTCTTATCTTGTGATCTTGCCAGTGGTAATAGAATTATTTTTAATTCACGCCCATATCCATGTATGACCATTCGTACAAAAATATTTTTCAGATCAAACTGTCTTTATCTTGCTTCCTCTAGCTCTCTGTATTTTAGAATTTAATCACCTGTCACTGTAAAATTAGTGTAATAGAAACAGTTTTTATATTTTAGATATTTTGAAATTTTGTAAGCAGGAAATAGCGATTTTTTAAATTTACGCACAAGATATATGCACTCATGAAGGAGAATTTTAATTATCTAGTTACCACTCTGTATTCATAACTTACTCATTCAATGAGATAGAAGTAGAATACACCTCATTAAAACACGCCAAAGTATTTGTTGTCAGACTATACCTCGTATACAATTAATTTACAATTTGTCTTTTTATTCGCAATAGGACGACAGCCATTTTACCTTATTATCTAATTACAAATATTTAACAGAATTTAACTGCAGCGACATAACTCATCACCAGTATTTACATTTTGGTTTGAATTCCTAGGTCATATACCCATTTATCTTACACGTATATATATAGATTTTTAAGACCACCGTCTACCAACAATGACTATTTTTAAACAGGTATATCGGCTACCTGGCTACAAACCCAAAATACCGCGGCGAGGTACCTTGTTTACAATCACATTCATATCTGTTCTACCCCGAGCCGCGATGTCTATAGTTCACACCCTTGTCTTAATAATTTTTTAATTTTACTAATTATGCTAATTAGTGAATTATAATATTAATATATAATTACCTATTCCCGATGATTGACAGGTGATTAATGATTGACAGGTAATTAAAATGATTAATGACCTTTGGCGGCATCATTGTCGGCATCATCAAAGGAAAATTTGGTTCCCAGGCCATAGTGCCCCCTTTCCTACTAACAATAACACTAAACAATCTCTACAACGCCAACTGTCAAAACAAGTTGATGGAATTATGAATGAATATTTTATATTCCGTTGTCTAAGCTCACAATAAACAACGTAATATGCCCCGCCTACAAAATACTAGCTGTTGCCACATCTCGTAAAAAATACTTAATATCCAATATACCACTAACAAGTTTTGGAATTTATTGAAAATAATTACATCTAATTTAGTGAAATTATATCTAATTTAGTTAAATTTGATATAACAAATTATTCAACATTTTTTGGGTTCAGTTGCAGTAAAATAGGTTGAATTATTTTAGCTTTTTTAATATATGTAAATAATTTTGTAAACAAAACGAGAATAATGAAATAGGCATATGACAACAGCGGATATTATACCCTAGTGTGTCCCTTAGAATATGTCTTATTCACGACAGCACGATATTTGTAAGTAACTACATCTCCTGTTACCTCTGATCTGTATACAGATAGGAAAGTAAAAATGAACTATACCTAATAAAACAGGGATTTGTCAAAAAATATTAAATAAAACTTACCGTTTTTTACATAAAAATAATAAAAACAAAGCACGTGTAGCCGTCTTGACATGCATCGTGTGACTGAGTATTGACGAAGTAAAGGATAGGAGATTTTGCATGCCGCGACAGGTTGGGTTTCTAATGGGAGAATTTGAAATAACAGAGTTTAACGATTTTGCGATTTTTTGAGCTATAGGATAATTTTACTTAATATGCGCATGGCTTAGTAGAATTCAAAAACAGTAATAACTCATTTTCGGTAAAAATTGCAGATAGGAGTTTTTGTCAGGTCGCCCGCGATATATTGCTTCAAGTTTGCAACACTTTTGCAATTTTTTAAGAAAGTTATAATGAATTAAATACACCGTGTCCCACGTAAGGCGGGCATTACAACTTTATGGAGAATAAATTAATTTGTATTTTCGCAATGTTCTGAGTATACATAATCGAATATGCTCTTTTGAATTAAAATAAAATGAACTCTGTGCAACTTCCGGTTATACCGGAAGTGACCACTAACTTCGTTATTTTAAAGGGAATACCCCATATTTTTTTTTAATTTTAGATTCAGCATGAAATTCTGTAAACAACGATACCCCATTTGCCTATTCTAGTTATAGCGGATTTGGCGTTATTCAATTTTTTTCTACATTTTTAGTCGCCGGTAGACATTTTCTTAAAGTCGTCTATCTCAGGTACTATATCTATCAGATACTTAAAATTTTAACCAGAGGTAGTAGATGGGATGTACTTCTTGAGAATATTTAGTTATTCATTATTTGTTGTACGGGGTGTTTGCAAATTATTTTTAAAAATGAAATTTTTTAAACAAAAAAAACTTTTTTATTTTAAATTGAACACCCTATATATTTTTTAAATTTTAGATTCAGCATGAAATTCTGTAAACAATGATGCCCCATTCGCCTATTCTAATTATAGTGTATTTGGCGTTATTCAGTTTTTTATAAACTTTTATATGCCGGCAGACATTTGCTTTTTTAAATTTACTTGTACATCGTTTGTTCGACTGTGTGTTTGGAAATTATTTTAAAAAATAAATATTTTAAACATGAAAATTTTTTTTATTTTAAATGGAAAATCCTGTATATTTTTATTTCATTTTGTTCAGAAAATTATTCTTCATTGATCTTCATTTGCACTATTAATTCCCTATAATTATCTCTCGCCAATTTTAAGAAAATTTAAATTTTCCGCATGCACCTACATAATATAGTATAGTTTTACATTTGAATTTTTTATCTTAGTATGCCGTGGAAATATGCTAAACAACAATCTGTCAACAAACTGAATTGTCATATTTCTATGTATTTAAGTTGTGTATTTTTTGCGTTCAAAATATGGAAAATATGGAAAATATTGAAGAATATACCAACCAAGATATTCTTAATTTATTTTACATTCATGGAGAATGTAATCGAATCAAAAGTAGAACCTGCCGCATGTTTAATGAACGATACCCTCATTTACCACCAATGAACAGACAGAAATTTGATAGAATCGAAGCTAACTTTTTGAATAATTTTAAACAAAACCCGGGAAGAAACCGTCAACATTATGTCCGAGATGAAGAAGTTAATCTAATTAACGTATTAGGGTATTTTACTGCGTATCCTCACGCCTCCATTAGAATGGCTCAAGATAATTTAAATATTAGTCGAGGGTCAATACAACGAATTTTAGCACTAAATAAATGGCATCCCTATGCACAAAGAAAAGTTCATGAGTTGCGAGATGGTGATCAAATAAGACGAACTGAATTATGCGAATGGTTATTGGTACGAATTCAAGAAGATCCCGAGATTTTAAACAAAATTTTGTGGTCAGACGAGTCGAAATTTACACGTAAAGGGATCATCAATCGCAAGCAATGTCATTTCTGGGCAAACGAAAATCCACATTTTTATCGTGAAGCACAATTTCAGTACGAATTTAGTTTTAATGTGTTTGCAGTGATCGGTTTTGGAAGAGCTTTTTATTACATTTATAATGAAAGACTGACCTCAGAAAGATACATTAGAATTCTTAGAGAAGTAGTTGCCGACATTTTAAACCAGCTACCAAATAATAATTTTTGGTACCAGTTGGATGGTGCCCCAGCACATTCAACATACTATGTAAATCAAGAAATTACAGCACTCTTTGAAGACCGATGGATAGGTCCAAATGGTCCTTGGCTTTGGCTTGCAAGATCGCCAGATCTAACTCCTGTTGATTTTTTTTATGGGGTCATATTAAAAATTTAGTGTACTCTACCCAAATTAATACTAAAGAAGAATTAGAGCAAAGAGTTCGGAATGCCTTTAACGAGTTAGATGGTGAAATGATTCGTAAAGCAACAACTAATCATGTTGAAAAAAGATTGTTAAAATGTTTAGAAGCTAACGGGGGGCATTTTGAACATTTGATAAAATGATTTTTTTAAACCATGTGCTTTTAATAAAAATTGTTTTTAGTTAGTATGTACCTTATCATTAAAAAAATTTAAACTTTTTAAACGACATATTTTGTTGCAGAAAACTGTAAATGTTTTTAAAAGTATATCCCATCTACTACTTCTGGTTAAAATTTCAAGTATCCAACAGAAATAGTACCTGAGACAGTCGACTTTAAGAAAATGCCTACCGGCGCGACGACTAAAAATTAAAAAAAAAATGAATAACGCCAAATCCGCTATAATTAGAATAGGCAAATATGGTATCATTGTTTACAGAATTTCATGCTGAATCCTAAATTTAAAAAATATATAGGGTGTTCCCTTTAAAATAAAAAAGTTTTTTATGTTTAAAAAATTTAATTTTTAAAAATAATTTCCAAACACACAGTCGAACAAATTTAAATTTTCTTAAAATTGGCGAGAGATAATTATAGGGAATTAATAGTGCAAATGAAGATCAATGAAGAATAATTTTCTGAACAAAATGAAATAAAAATATACAGGATTTTCCATTTAAAATAAAAAAATTTTTCATGTTTAAAATATTTATTTTTTAAAATAATTTCCAAACACACAGTCGAACAAACGATGTACAAGTAAATTTAAAAAAGCAAATGTCTGCCGGCATATAAAAGTTTATAAAAAACTGAATAACGCCAAATACACTATAATTAGAATAGGCGAATGGGGTATCATTGTTTACAGAATTTCATGCTGAATCTAAAATTTAAAAAATATATAGGGTGTTCAATTTAAAATAAAAAAGTTTTTTTGTTTAAAAAATTTCATTTTTATAAATAATTTGCAAACACCCCGTACAACAAATAATGAATAACTAAATATTCTCAAGAAGTACATCCCATCTACTACCTCTGGTTAAAATTTTAAGTATCTGATAGATATAGTACCTGAGATAGACGACTTTAAGAAAATGTCTACCGGTGACTAAAAATGTAGAAAAAAATTGAATAACGCCAAATCCGCTATAACTAGAATAGGCAAATGGGGTATCGTTGTTTACAGAATTTCATGCTGAATCTAAAATTAAAAAAAAATATGGGGTATTCCCTTTAAAATAACGAAGTTAGTGGTCACTTCCGGTATAACCGGAAGTTGCACAGAGTTCATTTTATTTTAATTCAAAAGAGCATAATCGATTATGTATACTCAGAAAATGGCGAAAATACAAATTAATTTATTCTCCATAAAGTTGTAATGCCCGCCTTACGTGGGACACGGTGTATAACAAATTAAATTTACAGTTATTTCAATCTCTCATTGATTATTTTCCGTTTTAGATGAGCCATTTACAATACGTTACTTCTAATAACTTATGTGATTACTGCCATAAATCCTTGTCAGTAACTCCAGTCAAAGTATATCCAAACAGGAGAATAAAATGTGGCAGGTGTTCAACAAGCAACGACGAAGAAGAGGACAATGGTGTAAATTCCATGTATAATCAAATTGCTACCAGAATTTTTTTCGAATGCATTAACAAGTTTGATGGCTGTACAAAATTATTGCAATCGTCGGAAGTAGTTAAACACGAAAAAACATGTTTATCTAAAACGTTCGTCTGTCCTATTTGTTTGAAAGAAATGTTTACCTTTTTAATAATTCCTCACTTTAAACTAAATCACCCCGAATCTTTATTAGAAAAACCTAATTTTCAAATAACTGACTTAAAGAACATAGAAAAAATATTTTTGTACCAATTAGAATCTGATTTGCTTTTCGTAAACTTTCGCGATACATCCGATTCGTTTGCGGATGATTTCAGGCGTTTTTCATTAAATGTTCGATTACATTTGGGAAAAAAAGATTACATTCAAAATTTAAAAGTAGATTTCTTCGAAAAAAATATTGATATTTTGGATAAAACTATTAATACAAGTGGGAGCACATCTGTTACATATAATTTAATGTTAAATATTACACATGAGTCAAAGTTGCTGGTAATGTTTCATTTAATTTGTGTTGAATCAAAAAGTGTCGTAGTCAAGGTAGTAAAACATAAAGTAAATAAAATTAAAGAAAATACTAATTTGAAATTACTACATCAAAATAATTCTGTTTCACAAGTATTTCATAAACAGCTTGGAGAATATTTAAAAACGCTTTTATTTGAAAAGCGTGATATTTTTCCGAATGAAAAATTTAAAAATGTAATCTCAGATTTAGTTATTACTGAAAAAGCAACACTTTCATTTACAAAATCGAGGGAAAAAATCACCATTACATTTGGTTGTCATGTTTGTTCATTACTTAACTATTGGTGTAATCAATCATTTGTGCATTTGATCGGACATAATGGTCATTATTATATAGAATGTGTTGGATGCGATAATTTATATATTAATAAACGCAAAAATATCGTTAAAAAAAATTGTATTACATTATTCGAATTAACAAACATTATGTTTTTTTGCGTCTGGGATTGTGGAACATTTTGTAATATTGACGAGTTATATACACATGAAAGAAATTGTTTAAAGCAAATTTGCCAGAAATGTCCCGTTAAATCATGTTTTTATTATTTCAAGCTATACGAAATTGAATATCATATTAGAAATGAACATTCATTGGTAATGTCCCCACAAATCAATTGGAATGAGAAGTTGATAATTGTACATTTAGATACTTCTAAATCTGCTAAAGAGTATATTATGTTAATATGGTACATATGCGTTCTTGTTAAATTTAAATGGGAAAAAGCAAATTGGACAATCAGTTTTACTTGTGAATTACCAGGAACACAAATAAAAGCTAGAATATTTGATAAGAATAAAAAAGCAATATCTACAATAATTGAAAGTGGTTCAATTCCACATAATGAGGAAATACTACTACATCTACGTTGTTTAGTTACTAATAAAGAAAATTGAAAATATGTCTTGAACAATAAATGAATTTGCAAATATATAAAAATCGTTTATTTAGTCAAAAAACTATTTTTTACATGTCCATAGGCGCCGAATGCACAAGCACCCAGAGCAATTTTAAACTGGGTGCGGAGCACCCACAGCCTAACGTTGACAAAAAGTGCCAATCAGTGAAATGAAGATGTCGTGGCCCAAGTTGGTAGAGCAACATGATGCCTCGATTGCGGCATCAGTTTTTCATTGGCTGTCAGAGTTGTGATGTTGCAGGTTGCGATAATCCTAATGCTAATGCAAAATATTAAAGCTTTCTTCTTAAGGAGGTCCTTTCGCCACCAATGTTAAATAAAAAATATTAGAATATCGAGGGGGTAGTGCGAAAACCAGATAAGTCAGAAAAATTTGATTTTAATCGCAGTTGGCTTATTTTTGTGCGCTCTATTTTGTGGTAAATCTGATTATTCGGTTTTCACATTGTAAGTCGTTTAAAATAGAACAGGAAAACCAGTTAACTACACTACTACCCCATAAGTAAGAAACGATAAACAAATAAAGGGTATTATATTTTGTACTTCTAACTTTTTTATATTTTATGAACGGACAAAACGAGTAACATTATTTAACTGGTTTTATTTTTAACCACCAATTATAGAATTTACATGAGTTACCAACAAAAACATACTTAAACGTTTTATTTGGTTTTCGCATAACCATTTTGTTTTAAAAAAGGAATATCTTTATAACCACTGTTAGTTAAAATTAGTTATTTGAATTTTGATATGAACTTAACACATGAATATTTCGAGCGAAAACCAGTTAAACTAATTTTGTACCTTTTATTAGTTAAAAAACAAGCCACAGTTGGCGCTCTCGAATGCATCATTTTGTACAGTTGATTTGATATTGCCAATTTCTTGTAACATCTTCCTAATCTATGGTTAATCGGTTGTTACTGTTTATGTTTTGACTCGTGTGCGAGTACATTCATGTTTATCTCTTTGTTTATCTAGATTTCGTGGTATTTGTGTGAAGCAGTAAATTTCGTTGTGTTGTGGAAAGTGTTAATTATTTTCTCTATTGGCTTTTTTGAAACCTACATAATGAGTAAACGGACGCAAGCAATTTTAAGTCTAGCTATAAGAAAATCATTGTTATTAGATGGTAAGTAGTTTATTATTTATACATCTTCTATTTAACACTCGAATTTTGACAAAAAAATTAATCTCACAAATTTCTAACAAACTGAAAATTGCACGTATTTTATTATGAATAGAATGCTTTTATACATAGACAATTATTATCATGAAAATTTGCAATAAAATTTTTGTGCCTGGGTAATCTTATACAGAGTGAGTTTTAAGTATGGAACGCCTTAATTATCTCAGAAATGACTTGCACGATTTTTATAAATTTTGGTTTTTGAAGGTTTTGTAATACGGCCGATCTTATAGTATTATTTACATTGTTGTCAGATTTTCCGTTTTTCTGGAAATCTAATGAACTTTTGTTATTTCAAATGAAACCTAGATATCGGATACAGATTTCAGTCAAGTTATACACACAATATTTTTCAGAATCCACTGCTGATAATGACAATGAATCAATAGTTTCTTCTGAAGTAAATGACGAGGAGCAGCAAATTGTAAATGAAATGGAACAACTAGTTGGAAACAACTTTATTGAAGTTGGTAAGCATTAATTGCCGCTTTTCATAATAGGTTCACTCAACTTTTTTTTGTTTCAGATGAAATGACACCTTCCTCTTCAAGTACATGTTTTCGACAATCTGTGAATTCAACAGTAAATACGGAAATCTGTTATAAAGAAGAAAGTGGCGAACATAGCTACATTAACAATGTTTTATATGATAGTGATTATTCCGATATTGACCCAAATTATTTGACGGAATCACCTGATTCCGAAGAATCCGAAAATGAAACAGTGCAAGTACCTAAAAAACCTAAGTTGGCCGAAGATAAACACAAGATCGAGGAAACGAGTCGATACTCCAAAATATACAGACTTTCCAGTTCATTACCAAAACTATACAAAAATCCTCTCCCAATAAGTGAGGCAAAAAAAAGATTTACTGAAAATGTGTAAATCAGGTGTATTTCCAGATTAATTACATGGTTGGATCATAAGTTTGAGGACTGGCGCAGAAGTGGTAGATCGCGTATCGGACATCGCAGTAGAAGAAGAATCAGAAGAAGAGGACGCATGAAATCATGTTTTCAGATTTTATCAAGTTTCGTTTTTTGTACTCTTTAAATAAACGTTTTTGTAACTGTGTTTGTTAATTTTTTTGCGAAATAGCCCAATAAATTAAGAAACGTTTTCATGAGTTATCAGGTTTTCGCACTATAACCTGGAAATTATGTTTTTCTTGAAAAGGGAAAACCTGATAACTTCGAAGTTTTTCGTTTTTTTGTGGAAAATTATTTTCATAGAAAAATAATATTACACAAACAATATTTTAGCATGGAATTCTACATCCTTTGTATTCGTCCAATAAACGAAAATAAATTTGAGTTACAAGTTAATGATTACTGAACTTTGCACAATCTTAAAATGCGATTATCTCGAAACTAACTTTTCGCAGTTATCTGGTTTTCGCACTACCCCCTCGATATGACTAAAATTAATTTTTTTCTAATAGTAGATGTCCTTATTTATCTAATAGTGAACTTTTAACTATACCTTACCGTGCAAATTTTTGAGAAAATTTTTTTTTAAAAATGTGTGTGTACAGTGTCTTATGAGAAAGTAAGACTTCAACAACAATTTTCGAATTATAATTAATTTTACTATTATTTATTGATTAGATGGAGTAGAAAAAACTAAAAATAAGGTTTTTGAAATATTTAGGTTTTGTTTTTTACAATAAAATATATAGGTTACCAGGAATTTATTGAGAAATTATTATTAAAAAATCAAAAAATTTTCAACTAGGTTACTTGAAAATTCTCAAAAATTTGCAAGGTAAGGTATAGTTAAAAGTTCAGTATTAGATAAATAAGGACTTCAACTATTAGAAAAAAATTAATTTTAGTCATAATCTAATAACTTTTTTTTAACATTTGAGGCGAGAGGTGTGGCGAAAGGACCTCCTTAAGACCCTACTCAACTTTTTTCTTAATTTAGAAAACGATTTTTTATTCGAAGTAATACAAGACGTCACTTTAAATTTCTATCTCTTAATGTAAGAAATTTGTAACACGATGAGTTTAATAAAACGTATGTCTCGAATTAGCACTGTTCCGTTTTAGCTTTTAATGGTGGAAAGTCCATAACTTTTAAATATTTGTTAAATATCACTCATTAAAATATGCATAAAAAGTAAAATAAACTATAGACTTTCCACTATTCTTTACCGTACTGTGAACCCATTTTAAAAAGAATGGGAGCTGTATTTTTTGTGATAACAAAGTCGCCGTCTCTTGTCATTGAAAAACGCGTTGAACTTGGACTTAAGAGTTTATTATCCTTGGTGTATAAAACTATATGACGTCAAAAAAGAACGACTAATAACAGTCTACAATTATCAAGACAAGAGCTCTGTACATATGCTATCGAGCAAACACTTGAGGGGAGAAGGGATAACATGTGGAAGTTGCTCAAACACCGTTAAAAAAGAACGTTCATCAAGAGTCGGAAACAGCTCTCTAGTAGTGCTCGCAAGTAACCCAAGTAATTTACTAAAAAACGCTCGGACCCGTCAATTTTTGATTTTAAAGGGAAACATTTTTTTGGCAGTTTCGCCCCCTGAAACCCACTAACGGGGGTGAGACTCCTAAAATCTTCAAGAAAAGGAGTCGAATGATATCTTATTTTGACGGTATTTTTATCTAGGTCTAGATTATAACCCGAGTTTCACATCGCTACAAAAGTACAAAACCGGTTTAACATAATTTTTACATTGTTATTAAAAGTAAATTTTTTGTTACAATTCTAGTTTTATTCCTGTGACCTTCAATTATTGTTATCAGGTGACATTCTTTGGTCGCCGTAAAGTAGTAAGGTTTAGTTTATGTCGTTAGAGAGTCGGCATAAAAGTGGCATATCAGTGATAATAATGGTTTACTCAATTGCTAAGAGGGTGCAAATGATTTTTTTGGGAACAATGAATGTGCTAATAGAACTGCCCAACTGTTTAACAATCAACATCAAAGTCCAACGAAAGTATATTTTGGAGTTAGTTTAAAAATTTTGGAAAACGGGTTCAGTAGCTAACAAAAAACGTAAAATGGAAAATGTTGTAGTAAATGAAGCTACAGATTTGGCGATTTTAGTGCATGTTGTTCAAGAACCCACATTGGGTACAAGTCAGTTAGCGATAACATCTGGTATTAAGAGGAAAATTTACATTACAAATTAAAAGACCTGCGGAGCAACGGTAGTTTAGTAGGTATAAAAATTACAACTTAAATACTACAAAATTACTTCCGAGACCAAACAAAATCAGCATTCATTCATAATTTTAACAATTGCATGTAGATACGAGGGATGCATATTCTAAACTTTAACGCGCGAAGTTAAAGACAAAGGAACCGAAAAATATTCCACAATAGCACAAAATAATATTACCCATGTATTCTACAATATAAGTATGATGTAGATTAAAACTTATTTTGGCTGTCGACAAATTTGGTTAAAAAAACTTCTTTTAGAAATATACCTTTCATTTGACGAAAAACGAAAAAAAAAATATTCTTCATAAAAGTTTCGCCTGTGTATTGACAAGGTAATAGTGCTTTCCTTATATTTTTTGCTATGAAATTAACAAAAATATAGCAATAAACAATTACTGATGTCATGGTGTTACAGAAAATACAGATGAAATGTATGCAATCTGTTTGATTCTCTTACATTATTTTATATAGGTATTATCGATTTATCCGCTATGAAGGCGAATAATGTTTTATAGGGTGTATTACTTCATGATTTTTTTTTAGAGGAAAATAAAAAAATAAAATATAAACTATTTATGGAAGGTATAAGCACAGTATACATAAGTATAGGTTATAAACAGTAAGGCTATTGCTTTGCAAAATACAATAAATTCCTAATAAAAAAATCTGATGTGTCCAACAC